CTGTTCCCCTCACTGTCCCTGAGGGCCAGCTCCAAGCCTGGCTCCCAGTCAACCCTCCCTCCTCACTGAAAGATTCTGAAAACCTTCCAGAAGCTCCTTTTGACCAATCGTCTCAGACGGTACTGGGTCCACGAAGGCGTAGCTTAGGGATGTTGCTCTCTGTGACACAGAAATGCCTAGAATATGGCACCCAATCTGTGCTGTTTGTAAGTTTCATCTGGCCCGTTACCCAGTACTCATAGCTCTGAGCCAACTCTAGAACTGCCCCTTGTAAACCACAAGAAAGTCAGGTGTGGTGGCTCAGGCCTATCATCCTGCACTTGAGAGGCTGAGGCAGGGAGAGTGGGAGTTCAAGGCCAGTTTGGACAACTCTCCCCACACACACCAGAAAAAAGTCCCCAAAGATTACCAGCTCCTTCCAGGCAGAATCCCAGCCTCTCTGGATTCACCGTGAACATAGGAGGGTAGGATCCAGAGAATTCCCTCACCAGGACCTTTCCAGAGTCGATGTGGCCAACCAACTTACCCACTCCTTAAAGTGTTTATTCAACAGAGAAGAAACTGGATGAACACAGCATGGGGGGGGATGATCTGTCTCCCCAAAGTCCTCTACTGGCTGAAAACCAAGTTTGTCACTGGTCCAGTGTGAAGGGCCAAGATGCCCCCACCCTTCGCTCATGAACTCAATTCTTAAAGTCCAGGATGCTTCCTTTCTTTTACTTTTTGTTCTTTTCTTGAGACTCCTGCTGTACAGCCCAGGCTGGTCTCAAACTCAGGCTCTTCCTGCCTCAGCAATTCTGCTGGGCCTGCACGTGAGCCCGCTCCAAGCTGCCCACCCCTGCACTTTAAAGACAGCTGTATCAGGAAACAAGGTTCTTCACAATGGTGATTACAATAAAGCGAGGTCCCCAACACGGACCCTCATCTGTGTGGCTGGTGTCCTCCTGGGAGGAAGTAGGACACACGGACAGGCTCAGAGGAAGATGACAGGAGACAAAGGGGGAAGAGGGGGCCACCCAGGAGCCTCGGGTAGATTACCACGCAACCCGTCCTTGGTCTTGGACTCCTGGCCGTCAGAACCTCATGGCAGTCAAGCCCTGTGGGTTGTCCATCCAGTCTGTGGCAGACGCAAGCCTGTCAGAATCAGCTCCAGCTTGACTCCACCTCACACGTACACACATGTGCGTACGACATAATGAGTCAACTTTGCCAGCTTATTCATCACCCCACAATCCTCCAGGCTGAACCCCTGAATCACTTCTCAGGGATCCCTGACTAGGAAATGAGCAGATCCCTAGCTCATAGGCTGCATTTTTCCAACGTGCCTAATCGTGGAGGCTTTTCCCAGCCAAAGTGGATAGCAATGCAGAGACAAGGCCCTTTGTTCTGCCCCTCCGGGGACCACGAGGGCAAAAGAGAAGGGCCTGTCTTGCTCTGTGAGGAGGCCACGCCTGGGCCTGGCTGAATGGTGGGCCGGGCAGGGGCTGCCTGGCACAGCTGGGTTGGGGACCTCAAAGACACAAAGGCCTGGCAGGTGGGACACAGTGGGGGGGGGGGGCCACATCTGAGAGAGGATCATCAGTTGATGTGTCCCAGAGTGGACGACCTTCCCCCACTGAGGTGAAGCAACTATGTCATGGTCATTGGTGAGGGAGGGGTCAAACGGAACAGGCAGGAAAAGGGGACAGCAAGGGACACACACACACAAACTCCCAAAGAACTTCAACAGTGTGGGAAAGGATGGGTACCTCGGGGGCCTAGGCCCATAGAGGAGATAATGCACTTTATCAGAGGCATGGCAATCAGACAACCCCCGAGAATGGAGTCTGGTACATCTAATCTTGCAAGAAAAGTGACAGTTTGTTTCTAGATGGGGACAGAGTCTCCAGAAACCCAGGTCAGTGATGAGACAAGGGCAAGAGAGACAATGGCCCTGCTGTGCCAGCCAGGCTGCTTCATCTTGCCCACCTGCCCTCCTCCCACCCAGCAGTCAGCAAAATCTAGCATCCAAGGTCTCCCCACCTCTCCCCCGACTCCTGCAGATGCCAGAAAGGGCTGCAGCCATATTTTCACACACAGCATCTATTCTCACCTTGGGTCCATTCCATGGGGCCCACACCACATCACACCACCTGTCTTCATCTTAGGTTACTATCCTCGAGGTGATGTGAGCCAGAGACACCACAGCATCATAGGGTGGACAAGGTAGCCTGGGGAGCCAAGAAGGACCCCACACCAGATGTCAGGACAGTTTGCAGCTAAGTGTGGATTAAGGGCTATTGTAGAGGGTTGGGGTTCAAGGACTTGTTGACATTTTGCTCTTTTGGGGTGGAGAAGCCTGCACCTTGCATGTGCTAAGAGCTAGAGCACAGGCCTAGCCTCCCAGCCATGTTTCCTGGTTCTAGAAAGTCTAGGTATCCATATTCAAAGCCAGCACCTGCCTGAGTCCATTTTGGGAAATTGGAACAAAGACCCTCTCCTGGTCTGGTGGTTGCCTGGAAAAGACAGCCGAGACAGCAAGTGTGCCAAAGAGCAAAGCGATGGGGTCTCTGGTCCTGTCACTGTGGGTTCATCACTGACATGGCTTTCCATGTTTAGTTGGGGGTCAGCCACCTCTTCTGAGGAAACAACAGACTCCACTCATCCCAAGCCTCATTCTTGGTGTCCCCGATTCTGCCCCTGTGATAGCCCATCCCACCTGTCACTGTAAGGGCTTGCCGGATAGGAATATCACTCTTTCTATGAAAAAGGACAGGAGCTATCCCTCTGAGGCACAAGGAGATCTCAGCTCTGCTCTCAGGAGGCGGCCAAGCACTTGGCACAACCAGCTCTTACTCAGTTAGACTTTGGACCCATGCAGCATATGCCACTCCAGAGAGATGAGGGAGGGGAAGCCACAGTTTCATGGTCTCTTGTCTGGAAGGGTGTCAAGCCAGGAGTCCTGAGTCCCCAAATGACTCACATGGTCACCAGCTAGATTTGAGAGAAGGTTTTACCTGACCAGGTGGTCGAAGTCATAGCTTTGTGCTCTGTGCAAGCATACTGGACACCTGGCTGGGGGTGTGGCTCCTTGGTGAAACAACTTATCCAGCATGCATGTGTGAGGCTCTAAGTTCCATGCCCAGGACTGCAGGGCAGGAGACAGAGAAAAGTCAGGGCTGCATAAAACCAAAGGGTATGTACCAGAGACACAAAAGTTAATAGGTGGGCTTAGGTCTTGAAAAAGGCTGACATAGCCCAATCCAGTCACTTTGCAGAGGAGGAAACAGCAAGAGAGTGTTGCACCAGACACAAGGCACTTCCCTCCAGGAGACCCCCACGGAGTCACATGCTGAGTGCACAGAGAAAATCACATGGCCGTGGCATTGGAAGACTCAGGGTCTCCCTGGGGTCTCCAGACCCAAGCAGTCTTTGACATTGTAAGAGGCATGACTGGACAGTGTGCCCTGAAGCAAGCTAAGCTGAAAGCTTTCTTCCAGAACATTCTGGAAGTGAATAGGGCAGTCACGTCTCTGAGACTTTCTTTATATTCAGATTCGTGTACCAAACAGAGCTCTAAACCTGGCCTTCCTTCTGCAAGCACACAGCAGATCCAGGCAATGGGGGAGGGAAAAGGAGAAAGTTATGCCAATCAAAACTAGGCAGCTCCAGGCCTTTGTAGGAGCAGACAGGCCTGTGACAACAACTTTACAGTTGTCCATGACATCTCCAGCCATTCCTGGACACCTTAAGATTCTGGAGTCTCAAAGACCAGACACTATTCAAGCAAAGGAAGGAGCTGTAATGGGAGGGGCTGCAAGGTGGATGTCTTTAATGCTGGCACCCGAGCTAAAGAGGCACAAATAGGCCTGACCTATGAAGTCCTGGAGCTAGGAGACCCCAGAAAAAGAAGGGAGGGCTTGCTGGCAGCTGTGCTTCCCTGGGGCTGAGCTCACAACCACTGCCGGGGGACACATTTCCTGTATGTCGTTTTTACCCATTTAAGTCAAAGGATGCGACTCTCTTGAGAGGGTGGCTTCCACCCTATGCAGCTCCCTTCCTTCTGAAACGCAGTTTGGAGTGTTAGAACTTCTCCCCAGCTCCCCTAGAACCCAGCTAGTCCTTTCTTGAGCGGAAAGTGATGCGCGTTCCAAAGTAGAGAGACAGACCCAGAGGGCGCTGGGACTCGCCCGCGGATCACCCAGCTGTCGGGGTGTGAAGTCAGGAAGATGAATCAAGAAGGGGAAGGCGGGGGCGAGCCTCCAGAGGCTGCACCCCGTCATCTCCGGGGCCGCTGGAGCCCTTTCCTCCTCCTCTCCCCTCCTCAGGCCCTTTTTGGAGCTGTTATTGCGTGGCTTTCCAGGCCCATCTTTTGCACGCTCCACTCCCAATAGCGGGCTGCCGCAGACCTTGTCCCGTTCCTGGAGCGCGCGGGGACCTCGCTGACACCCGAGGGCTCGCATTGCATTTTTAGACGCTTCTTTCCCTAGCCTGGGCCCTCGGCTCCGCCTCCCTGGCCTCCCCGGTTTCCTGAGACCCCCCAGTTGCCACCTCAGCCACGTCCTCTCCGCAGCCGCTGCTCAAAGGCGCCGTCTAGCCCCGTAAGCCCGCCAGCCTCGTCCCCATCAGCCTCCTCGCGTCCCCCAGGTCGCGTCACGAGACCCCAGCACCAACCCCGGTTCGGATCTCCGCTCACCGTCGCCGCGAGAACTCACCTGGACCGCGAACGCCGCGCGCCGCCGGTCCCGGACCGGCTCCCCGCCCGGACGCTCGCCAGCCCGCCCGCTGCTCCAGACCGCCCCGCCCCGCCGCGCCTCGCCCGCCGCTCCCCCGCGCGCTCCCACTTCCGGGTTCCGGAGGAGCTGAGAGGGCGGGGCGCCAGCGCGTCGGAGAGGCGGGGCGCACGGAGGCCACGCCCCATCTGAGGGCACGCCACAGACGCCCCCTGCGGTTGGTGCGTTCCTGTTTCCAAGCTCCGTAGAGCGGAGAGGCGGGGCGCTATGGTGGCCCCGCCCCCTGTCCCGCTAGCATTTAGCGCGCTCTCCGAGTGTGGCCGGAAGCCGGCGCCTCTGAGGAAAGACTTTAATCCACGCCCTCTCACACCGCCCTTTCCTGGGCGATCCCCACTAAGTGCCGGCTTGGCGCTCGCCGGGCACGCTGCGTGCCGAGCACACCCACCAGTCGCGACGCTACGCGGTCCTCCCTGCCTCCCTGCGGGCGGGGCCCTGAGAAGCCTGCCTTTGAGTGGAAGGCGGGAAAATGGCGGACTCCTCGGAGCGGGGCGCGGGGTGAGTTGGGGGGCGCAGCAGGGCTGGTCAGAGGCCAGAGACAGGGCCGACGGGTAGCCGAGCCTGAGAACGGGGATCCTTAGAGCGACTCCCCGAATCCCTCCCAGACTGGAGGCCCGGGCCCTGAGCGTCTCCTGTTCGCGCTCGGGAGCTGGGGTCCCGGACGGGGCCCGGAGTTGGAGTTGCGCGTGGAACTTCGATGTTGGCGGCGGGTGTCTTGGCCTCACGGTGTCTAGCTTTTGCATCTGGGGGCATGCTCCACCTCCTGGGTTTTGTGTGAGGCTTGCTCTGTTTTAAGACAGGGTCTCTTGTAGTCCAGGCTGGCTTGAACTCTGGGTAGCCAAAGATAGCCTGAAACTCCAGGTCCCCCAACTCCTTCCGAGTGCCGAGATGACAAGTGTGTGCCACCATCACCAGCTGTGATCAGTTTTCTGCAGTATAGCACTGCCGGGATTCATCCTTGTTAGTGAGCTTGGGAAGTATTGGAGGAGCGTCGATCGTTTCTTCTTAGAATTCAGGTTTCCTTCTTTACTGAAAGGAGTTTTGTAGCACTGATAGGAGAAGAGTCGGGGAGTTATGAAATAATTGCTTGAGAATAATATCTGGGAATTGATAAAAATCTACATCTGGGCGGGTTGATGCTAATGGCACCAGGTGTGGTGAAGCATGCCTGTCAGCAGCACAGGGCTCAGGAGGTGGGAGGGTCCAGAGTTCAAGGACAGCCTGAGTTACCTGAGATCCTCTCTCAATCCGTTTTTGTTTTCTTTTTTATCTTTGAGACAGGGTCTCACTTTGTAGCCCTTGCTGCCACAGAACTCCCAATGGAGACCAGGCTAGCCTCTAGCTCACAGATCACAGAGATCTGAATGAAAAAGGAGGACATGACTGCCCCAAGGAATGGTCGACAACAAGGTTTATTGTACATGTGAGGGAAAGGACAGCCAGTGACATCTGGAAGAATCCAAACTGAACCTGACCAGCAGACTGAGAGGAGAGAGGGGTGTGGAGGGAGAGGAAGAGAGAAGGAGCAAAGAGAGCACCTGGAAACCAACAAACCAAGTAGGCAAAATGGCTGAGTTATATAGAGAAGCTGGGGGAAGGGAGGGAAGCTCAGGGGCTGGAGAGGTGGAGGGTAGGGGGCGGGGTGTGCCAGCCAGGATGACTCTGTAACAGGTACTTGGGATGCTGAGAGATTCTGGGAGAACCTGGTGGCCAGCATCTACTTTGATAAGTTAAATAGGCACCTCAGACAGACACTTGTCCCAGGGTTCTTTGAGACCTAACAAGATCCACCTGTCTCTGCCTCTGCAGATTATAGGCTTGCACCACCACACCCAGGCCTAGGCTAACTTTCTGTACTACGGCTCTGTCATTCCTGGACCCACTGCTAGAACTCCTCACAATTCCAGCAAAGGCTGGATTCTAACATTAGGATCTTACATGAGAGAGAGAATGTGTGAAGAAAACTAATAGAGGGACTGGAGAGATGGCTCAGTGGTTAAGAGCACTTACTGCTCTTGCGGAGAACCTGGGTTCAGTTCTCAGCACCCATACTCACAACTGCCTGTAACTCCTGCTCCAGGAGATCTGATGTTTCCTTCTGGCTTCTGTGGGCACGTACACGTATCATAGCATATACACAGACACAAACATACATTAATTCTTAATTTAACATGATGACACACACCATTAATCCCAGTGTTCAGAAGGCAGAGGCAGACGGATCTCTTAGTTTGAGCCAGCCTGGTCTCCAGCCAAGGCTACACAGAGAAACTTTGTCTCAAAAAAAACAAACAACAGAGCCCACAGTGGTGGTGCTCGCCTTTAATCACAGCACTTGGGGGGCAGAGGCAGGCGGATTTCAAGGCCAGCCTGGTCTACAGAGTGAGTTCCAGGAAAGGTGCAAAGCTACACAGAGAAACCCTGTCTTGAAAAACAAAACAAAAACAAAATTTTTAAAGAAATACTTCTTTCTTTCTTTCTTTCTTTCTTTCTTTCTTTCTTTCTTTCTTTGTATTGGTCTTTCAAGACAGAGTTTCCCTGTGTAGCTCTGGATATCCTGACTAGAAGGGCCCACCTACCAATCCAAGAGTCACAAGAGCTATTACAGGGTGATCACAGGCCTAAGTCAGGAGGTCCGTAGAGAATCTCAAAAGCCCCCTTAGTGGGGACTGTTGAGAGGACTGGTGGGGAGAACTAGAGCTGATGATGGCACAGGCAGAGCAGAGCAGAAGACGTTTAGATGAGGATCTTGTCCACTAGAGGAGGTTGTGGAGAAGGCAGAGTAAAGACAGGTCTTAACGGGGTTGCTAAAGATCTCGTTAAAATTAATTTGTCACAAAAACCTTATGGTGTAAGCTGGGCAGTGGTGGTGCATGCCATTAATCCCAGCACTCGGGAGGCAGAGGCAGGCGGATCACTGTGAGTTCCAGGCCAGCCTGGTCTACAGAACGAGTTCCAGGGCAGCCAGGCTGTTACACAGAGACACCTTGTCTCGAAAAAACAAAAAAAAACAACCCTTATGTTGTATACTGAGGACAGTAATAGATTTGACTATGGCTTTGGACCTGTACCATTCCAACTCTGCACACTTAGGGACAGCCATGCTGAAGGTGTAAAATGAGGTGCAGCTTGCTTTGGAAACCTTGGCCTACTGTGTTTAATAGTTCATGCCCTGTGGAGCTAGGTGATATCATAGAAGCCAGTAGGGCTAAGTTGTCAGGAAGGCAGGTCTTCAGGAGAGAGAAGTGATAACCAAAGCCACTGAGGCAGAAATCCCTGAATTACAGATCTGTTAGCCATGTATTTTATTTACTTGTTTTATGTGTCCAAGTATGTTGCCTAATGCTTCCTTCTGGCTTCTGTGGGCACCTACACATATCATAGCATACACACAGACAGACATGCTTGTGTGTGTAAACACACACACAAATATAAATTAATTTTTAATTTAACATGATGACACACACCATTAATCCCAGTGTTCAGAAGGCAGAGGCAGTTACGTGCCATGTGCATGCTTGGTGCCCGTGAAGTCCAGAACAGTGCCCCTGGAACTGGAGTTACACACAGTTAATGAGCCACCAGGAACTGAACCTGGGTCTTCTGCAAGAGCAGCCAGTGCTCTTAGCCACTGAGTTGTCTCTTCAGCCCCCCATTAGCTCTATTATAATTGAAATTTAATTATTTCTGCCTTCCGTATTTGATGTAACTCTGATCTAACAAATGTTACCATTATGGTGTGTATACACACATGCAGGCAACACTTTATACATATAAAATAAATCTTTTTTTTTTTCTTTTTCTTTTTTTAAGATTTGTTTATTTATTATGTATATAGTGTTCGGCCTGCATGAATGCCTGCAGGCCAGAAGAGGACACCAGATCTCATTACAGATGGTTATGAGCCACCGTGTGGTAGCTGGGAATTGAACTCATGACCTCTGGAAGAACAGCCAGTGCTCTTAACCTCTGAGCCGTCTCTCCAGCCCCCCCCCCTTTTTTTAAAAAAAAAAAAAAAAAAAAAACACGTGATCCAACTTGGTGGCATGCCTTTAGTCCTAGCACAGACCTTTTTCCAGGCCTCGGGGAGCTCTGTGGTTGCCACCAAAGGGCTTGCTGCACTCCTCTTTGGCCCTTCGGTGAGGTGTTTGCTTCTTAGGAGTCTGGAGAATGAGGGTCACATGCAGGGGTGAGTCTCTGCAGCAAAGGGCGTTCTGTGCCACCTCTATTCAGGGTGGACATCAAGCAGGTGTATGTAACAGCTCAGCAGGTAGGCGTGCTTGCTCCCAAGCCTCATGACCTCAGGATTCCCAGGTCCTGTGTGGTGAAAGGAGAGACCCAACTACATAAGTCGTCCCCTGCCCTCCATGTGCATGTCAGGACACATGGGCACCACACACTACGTCAAATTTAAACTGTGCTAAGAGAAGAGGCCTGTGGGTGGAGCCTTTTAGCCAGCACTACACCTCAGACTTCCAGCTCTGAAGAGGGGGTGGTTGTGGCCACAGAACAGGACCATGTTACTGAAGCCTCCATGACTGATGGGCAGGCCCTAGGGCACCCTGAGGGACCACAGCAGGTGCACCTGCCCTGTGGTGGTGCTGCAGGCCTCCATGCTCTCCAGGTCCATGGCGCACCCCCATGGTATGATTTGCCTCAGCCAGAGATGCTTCCTTCCCCTGCTTCCCAAGGTAAAGCCCTACCATCTGTAGGCTGCAGGGAGAAGCCAACACCAGAAGCCCTGCTTTTAACTTCCATGCATGTAGGTGTGCTCATGTGAGTGCAGCAGAGGTTTGGGATCCCCAGAGCTGGAGTGGTTGTGAGCCACTTACCTGGGTGCTGGGGACTGAACTCAAGTCCTCTGCAAGGGCACAAGCTCTCTTCCCTGTGAGCTGTCTGTCCAGTCCTAGCATGAAAGTGATGAATTTTGGCATGGGCTGTGGTGTTACTCACTGAACAAGCCCGACAACCTGAGTTTGGGTCCCCAGAAGCCACATAAAAACTGGATGCAGTAGTGCCTGTAATCCTAGCCCACCCCACTGGGAGATGGGAGGCCAAACAGGAGAGTCCCCTGGAGTGCGAGGTCGGGTTAGCCTGGTGTCTGTAATCCCAGCACAACCCACAGGGAGATGGGAGGCCCAAACAGGAGAGTCCATCGGAGTGCAAGGACGGGCTAGCCTGGCTTAGGCAGCCATGGATGAGAAGGTGAAAGGTGACCTTCACTGAGATTGTCCCCTGACCTCTATACAGGCACTGTGGTACACACAGGCTGTGGCACACGAGCACCTGCTCACACAAACACCACATAGACATACACTAAATAAATAAGTAAAAATAAAAGATACTAAAAGAATACAACTCTTTTGTGGCACATGAACATTGATTGTGTGAACCCAAATGTGCTACGTCAGTGAAGTTTTGTGCACATGGTCCACCCATTGTGTCAGCCTTGGTACTGGAATAGTAAAGTTGAATAGTTGCTGCTGCTCATGACGGTGACTGGGAGCCTAGAAAACTGACCCTTTGCAGAGAAAGGCTGTGTCATAGTCCCCTCCCCTGCCCTGCCCCCTCATCCCTACTACTGGAGCTAAAGGGACGATCTGGAGAGTTCCAATTGCAGGGCTCTTCCCTGCTGCCTTCCTCCCATTGTCCACCTTGCTGATACGTCTTCTCCAGCCCCTGTGCTGTGTGTGGCTTTGAAAATCCTCCATCCCCCCCCATCCATTTCCTAAGCCCTCACACCTGTCTGGCTGTTGTCACACCAGCCTAAGACAGGGATCTTGCCCTGGACGGGAAGCTCTGATCCCTGTGTACAAGGAGTGAGGGCAGCTCATGACCAGTGTTCTACTGTCTTCAGAAGGAAGCTGGTGCTCTTCCTGTGGAGGCGCCACCTCCTGCTTATCCTAGGGATGGCCATCACATGCCCAGCTCCAGCTGGCAAAAGGTGGCTCTCGCTCTGCAGAGCTCTTGCAGCAGGATGAACAACACATCTCTCTTTGCTCTCTTGTAGAAAGCCCATAGTCACTGGTGCCCACAAGACAAAGGGAAGAAGAGTACAAGGTAAGCGCTTTAAGGGAAGTTTTGTTTTGTCCTCATTAGCAGTTTTTGTTTGTTTAATTTCTTATTATATGTTTATCTCCTTGGAGGGGTGTGCATGCCGTATCATGAGTATAGAAGTCAGAGGAACTTGTGGGAGTCAGTTTGTCTTACCATGCAGGGCCAGGGATTGAACATCCAGCTGGGCAGCATGCGCCTTACATGCTGAACCTTCCTGCTAGCTCTGTTTTCTGAGAAAGTCCCATGGTGCCCAGGTTGCCTGTCAACTCCTGATGCTCCTGCCTCAGCCTCCTGAGGGCTGGGGTGATAAATGTTCATGAAAGGGGTTTCTTGGGGGGGAGGGAGGCAGAAACAAGTCTGAAGCTTTGACTGCTCAGTGGCATGCCTTTGGGGACTCAGGGTTCTCCTTGTCACTGAAGTGTCCTTTGACTGCTGGAGTCCCTTCTGCCATGGCATCAGGCTCTCAGGACAGGTCCCTTAGAAGGTGTAGGTCTAGATGTGCTGGGGACACAAGTTCCATTCAGAAACATGGTGAGCTGCCCAAACTCAGGTCCCCTGGAAGAGCAGTGAGTACTCTTCAGCCTCATAGTCTTCTTTTGTTTTGAATTATACTTGGGGGATGGTAGGAGCATGAATGGCGTACATGTGGGGGTCAAACATTACTTGGGGGAGTTGTTTCTCTCCTAGCACCATAGGGGCCCTGTGGACTACTCAGGCCCTCAGGGTTGACCGTGATCACTGGACCCGGTGGGGCTTTGTGGGGTTGGGGGTTTAATCTTGGGGATGGAGCCCAGGGCCTCACATATGCTAGACAAGTGCACAGCCACTGAGTGGTCCCAGCCTGGCAGTCTTGTAACCTCTGACGTGTTTGCGTGCTGCCTGTTTGTTAACACTGGGCCAGGCCAGAGGGCCCAGGCTCAGCCACCGCCAATGGGGCCTGGATTTGTGTGAGTCTCATGAGGGTCCTACCCATGATAAAGGCAGAAGTGGATGTAGGAGGAAAGAGCATGGGCATAGACGTCCCCACTCCCAGTGGGAAAGAGTCCACACAGGGACTGACCATGCAGGAAACGGGAGCCATGTGCACTACTTCCCTGTTCCCGGGCTCTGGGGCTCTCCGGTCTTCAGCTTGGTTATTATTTCTTTTCATCTGGTAACTTCATTTAATTGAGAAGCATGAGTAGCTGAGGTGCAGAACGAAGTACAGCTGTGATGAGAGTCTAGAGTGCCCATGGCTAGCAAGTAGGATCTGAGAGCTGGCCGGCACATAGGCCGGTGGGTCCATTTGTTTTGGCTGCAGGCTCAACAAGGTTAAACTGAACCAGGGTCAGATCCCTACATCTGGGCTGCATTTTCCAAGCTTTTTCCTGGTACAAGCAAGCCCCAGGCAAACTCTCACTTGGCCTTTTAAATCCTTTGTGCCCTCAAAGCCTCTGCTAGATCTCAGGCGAGAAAGCCTCAAGTCCATGCCAACATGGCTATTCCATCATGATGGTATCATTTAGGGTTACAGGAATGGACCTTTATTCTCTCCTGATTTAAAGAATGGGAAGGTGGGAAAAGCAAGACCTCAGCGGTGAGCCAAGCTTTACTGCGATGAAGCATAAAACAGAGATGAACTCCCCCAGGGTGGGTTGGACCCAAGATGGTGTGGGTTTTTTGTCGTTGCTTTGTTTTGTTTTTGGGTGGGTGGGAGGGGTTATGTGCACATGAACGGAGATGCTCTTAGACACCAGAGAGAGCACTGACTCCCCCTGAACTGCTGTTACAAACAGTTGTAAGCCTCCATGTGGTTGCTGGGAACACCCGTCCTCGGCAAGAGCAACAAGCGCTCAACCACAGAGCCAGCTCTCCTCCTCCTTTTTTAAAAATTACACTTCCTTGCTTGGGGTGAGGGGCTGCACACGTAGAGGTCAGAGGACAGCTCTTGGGAGTCATTTCTCCTTTACCATGTGGGTCCTAGGATCTGAGTGAGGTCATCAGACTTGGTGGCGAGCCCTCTACCCAGAGAGCCATCCCACTGGCCCCAGGCTTTCACTTTCTAGAATGTCTTTGATCTTACTTGAAAACTTGCTCCTACTCTAAGGACCCACATACAAGAGGTGCTCTACAAATGTCTTGTAAACACTAAGTGTCCTATGAAGGTTTCTACATGCAGTAGCTGCCCTGTGCATAGCTGGGGAGGCTGAAGGAGCCTTCTGCAGGGAGCAGAAGGGCTGGTGCTCCTCCTGTCATTGAGCATGAAGAGCCAGTGGCCCCGGCTCTCCACTGTGGGGTCCTGGCCATGCTCTGTGTCTTCATGGTGCGGTATTGGTGTTCTGTGACAAACACTGTGTTGCCTACAGGAGGAAGAGTGGTTGAGTCCAGATACCTGGATTATGAGAAGAAAACGAAGAAGGTAATGGAGTCCTTTACTCCTGGAGCCACTGTGAGTGGGTGGGAATGGAGGGCACCTTGGAGGGCCTTTGCCAGGCACCTTTGCAACCTCCAGGCCTGGGGCACAGTCACGAGTCTCTGGCCAGAGGGGTATCAGTGTTAGTCTCCATGTTCTGGGCCTCTACCTCCTTCTCTGCCCCTCTTGCTTTTGGGGTCTCTTCTGTCAAGTCTGTCCTCCAGCACTATCCCCTCCATAACCCAGATGGCTCCAGAGAGATGGGCACTGACAGCGGGCATTTGGTGAGGGTCACAGGCACAGCTGGCCTGGGGGGTTTTGCCATCCCACTCAGAATGGTGTGAAATGTCTAACTTCGGTGGCCTTCACTTCTGCGACTTACTGTGTATTATTTATAGCTGTTAATAAGCAAGGCTAGCAGGTCTTTCTGGCACCCCACACATGTCCCCAGCACTCCAAAAGCTACAGTGCTGAGCGGGAATGAGGGAAACACATTCAGGTCAGGGAGTGCTCTGGAGAGTTCAGTCAGCTGCAGGTTCATCCCTGTGGTGACACCATCCCTGGAGCAGACAATTAGGTTCCTGTTATCTGTTAGGTCAGGGTGCACTGCTGAGCAAGACAAGGTCATTCCCTGCTCTTAATCTGGTTTATGATAATCAGAATGTTATGTTCTCCACTGCCTCGCCTGTGCCCTGGGAAGGGGATGAGGGTTCCCAGGGTTCCTGGGTCTGTGACTGGAAGTCTGGCTGGAGGGAAGAGATTCTCACATCACCCTGCAGGCAGCTTCCCCAAGCTACTTATCCCTGCTTCCATTCATTCTGTTGCTGTTGCTGCCTTGAAGGCTTGGCCACAGCGCCCCCCCCCCTGTGTCTACACAAGGCATTTTGGTTCTGGTACCCCAGCAGGTGGTCCCTGGATCTGGCTAGAGTCTTGAGTGTCTACTGTCATGGTCACATTAGCCTGCTGCTTTCTCCTGTGACTGAATGGCTCTCAGAAGGGCTGATCCAGGGTGGAGTTCTCTCACAGGTTGAGGATTCTTGGAGGATCTCATCTCATGTCCTGAGTAAAGCCACTTCCGGTTGAGCAGCCGGTTCCCTGAGTGGGTCAGGTGAGTGCCTGGATCTGAAATTCAGTGTTCTCAAGTTTCAGATTTCAGGTTTCTGATAAGGGGTGCTCGGCCCATATTGTATTTTTCCATTCCTCCAGAAGCTGGCTCACAGGGAACACAAGTGTTTGGCATCACCAAAACCTGCCCAGTGGTTATTCAAACTATCACACCATTTCACATTTCTCCAGGCACACTGGGGAGGTCCTGGGGATGTGGGCATCACGAAGTCAGTTGATGGTGGACATTGCTCTACTTTGGTTGCTTGTCCTTTTCCGTGTGTGTATGTGTGTGTGCGTGTGTGTGTGTGTGTGTGTGTGTGTGTGTGTGTGTGTGTGGCAGGTTGTACAACCATGTGTGCACATATGGATGCCAGAGTGAAATATCAGGTGTTTTCCTCTTGTGACAGGAGCTTGTTGAACTTCCAGCTCTCAGGATCCTTTTGTGTCCCTCATCCCTTGCCTGGGTTAAAGACTCCCACACCTTTCCAGGATTTGTTTTTATGTAGGTGCTGGGGATTCAAACTCAGGCTTTCTGAGTGACAGCTCGGACCCTCCAAGTGTCTCCACAGCCCCACTTGTTGATCATTAAATTCTCACATCATTGTGCACTTGTCTGTTCAAATATTTTCTAAGTCAGACATTTTCACCCTCCTGAGTCTCAGAGTTTTCTGTAGTTGGCCTTTGTGGCCAGTTGTTGGCATCTGTGGCCAGCAATTCTCGTGTCAAGAAGTGCAAGTTTTGGATTTGTTTTCAAATCAAAAGACCAGTATTTATAGATTTTTTTTTTTTCTTTCTTGTTTTTCTTTAGACAGTGTCTCTCTACATATCCCTACCTGCCCTGGAACTCACAGAGATCCATCTCCCTCTGCCTCCTGAAGGCTGGAATTAAAGACAGGAGCCACCACATCCAACCCCTGATTGTTGGTCACATGCTGTCAGACTTTCTTTAGACCACCAGTTTCCAAATAATGACACAGAGACATCTTATTAATTATGAAAGCTTGGCCTTAGCTTAGACTTACTTGTTCCCAACTAGTTCTTAAAACTTAAATTAACCAGTTTATATTAATCTACATTCTGCCACATGGCTCGTTACCTCTTTGCATACTGTATATCTGACTCCCTCAGAGTCTCACTGGCTTAATCATGAGAGCCTCAGATTCTTCCCAGAAGTCCCACCTATTCTCTCCTGCATGGCTATTGGTCATCCAGCTCTTTATTACACCAGTCAGAAGGCACCTTAGGCAGAGACACATCTTCACAGTGTACAAAAAGATTATCCCACAATAATCAGATGTGTGCACGGGCCTGTGTCATGGTAAGGATGGAACATAGGCCTTCCCTGTGCCACAGCCTGGGGGTTAACTGCATGGACTGCTGAGTCAGTGTCGGGGAGGTGCTAGCAGAGGGGGATCTCAAGACCCTGAACCCTGTGTCCCTCCTTAGCATGTGGCTTTTTTTGGGTTCCCATAGGCTTTCATGTATGATGTGTGAGGATGGCATCTGGCTTCAGCACATGCCATTCTCAGTCTGCAATTGTTAAGGGTCTGCTATTGAAACATTTTAATTAGCATTGAATGTACAAGTAATGAAATTCATCGTGACTTTTTAAAACGTATTTTTACTCATTAGGAGCAGGGTTCAGGCCAACATGTACATATGACTGTCAGAGGACAACTTGTGGGAATAGATTCCCACCCTTTACCACAGGGGTCCTGCAGATCAAACTTGGCTTGTCAGGCTTGGTGGCAAGCACCTTTACCCGCTGGCCCAACTTCTTGTTTTTAGCTCCTGGTGCTGAAGTTGAATGTAAGGCTCACACATGCTAGGCAAGCTCCCTCTCAGCCAACCCATCAGAAGAGGGCATCGGATCCCCTGGAGTTACCATGTGGGTTCTGGGAGTTGAATCCAGGTCCTCCATAACAGCAAGTGCTCTTACCCACTAAGCCAACTCTTCAATTCACTGGTCACACTCCCTCCAGTTACTTTCACAATGGGCTCTTTTCGTTGGACTGACTCTAAGTCCCACAGACCAGCTTGTTGTTAGTTGGTCTTTGGTCTTTTGGGGGGCCCACCACCCAGCCCCAAATACATCGCGCATGGAGACTGATTTTTAAATTAAGAATGCCCGACCTTAGCTTGGCTTGTTTCTAGCCAGCTTTTCTTGACTTAGCCTGTCTACTTTTTGCCTCTGGGCTTTTCTCATTCTCTTACTTCTGTAAATCTTACTCCTACTCCATGACTGGCTGGGTGGCTGGCCCCTGATGTCCTCCTCCTTCCTCTCTCATTCTTTGATCTATCTTCCTCCAGATTTCTCCTTCTATATATTCTCTCTGCCTGCCAGCTCCGCCTATCCTTTCTCCTGCCTTGCTATTGGCCAGTTCTTTATTAAACCATCAGGTGTTTTACACAGGCACAGTAACACAGCTTCACAGAGTTAAACAAATGCAACATAAAAGTCACACACCTTAAAATAATAGTCTACAACACCTGCTATTGGAGTTCCACCAGGACAGGTAGCCAGATCTGCTTGAGTGTGCATATGTGTTCCTACTCATGTGTACCCCTATGCAGCTTGGGTCTGAGGGGCGGGCACAGACACAAGCAGTTTTGGAGCGAGGTGACACCAAGTTCTGGAGCCAAGGCTGCGGTGGTCCCAGTGTGAGCATGGCCAGTGTAAACATGAGCCCCACTGTCAGGCAGGTGAGAGGCAGAGTTTGCACTCTGCTCTTCGAGGCTGATTCTCGTGCCCTTGAGAGCCTGGCTGGGAGTCTGCAGCCTGCTGGCTCTGAGGCTAGCCTGGGTGCCCAGAGTGACCCTCACACTTGGCAAACTTCTTCACTCTAGTCTGAATATGCTTGGGTGGTTTCTGCAAGGAGTAGGTTTTAGTTTTCCTCTCCCACCCTGCTGCCTCCTTATTTCCTAGGGAGAGTCCCCTGCTGCAGTGGGAATGCGAAGGGCATGAACCACGTCACCCCCATCGTGCTCCTTCTTGCTTTACCTGGGATAACTGGCAGCCTGACACCGACTGTTGCTTGTTGTGCTGTTGCTGTTTGTAAACGTTGAAGACTTATGCCAGTGTAGAAATTTGGTGTCCTCTTAAGTACAAAGTAATATGTATAGAAAACAAGCACATTTTGAAATGCCATAGGAAGTCAGTTTCCAGCACCTTCCGAGCACGCAGGAGCACAGGCCCATTGAGATGGCTGGGTGTTGAAGGCAGTCCAGCAGATGTGCCATTAATTTCCCATGTCTGATGAATGTGACTGTCTCCCATTAAACAAATCCTGCTTGTCCTGTATACACAGTTTCAAGACTCCTGCATCTCTCTGACCTCTAAGCAAATACATCAAAGGTCAAGTGGCCTGACCTCTGACTATTCCATAACAGGTTTCTGTACCAGCTGCTGGGAAGCCACCTGAGGGAAGGAAGACCAGCGCATTGCCAAGGAGCAAAGGTGGGGCACGGCTGTGGCGTGGGGCTTGGGACTCTGGCATCAGGGAAGGAGCTGCCCGGCCTCCCCTAGAGCAATCAAGACAACCTCTCACAGACATGCCCACAGTCCAGCCTGATCCAGACAACCCCTCACTTCCCAGGGGATCCTCGATTGTGTCAGATTGGCAGTGAAAACTGACCATCAAGGGGTCTCTGTCAGAAAGGATGTTATTCAAGTGTTTGTGATGGGAGCCTGGGGCAGTGTGTCTGAGGGCACAGCCATATGCCCACGGAGCTACTTGCAGATCCAGGGAGCAGGTGGGGATTGGCCAGGAGCTGCTGCTTGCTGTTGGTTTAGGGGCTCTGCAGAAACTACAGCCCACTGGGTGCCTGACACCTGGCCACTTAGGAGGTAGAGATAGGAAGATCAGGAGTTCAAGATCATCCTTGGCCACATGGGGAGATTGAAGCCAGCCTGGGCTCCATGAGACCCTGTCTCAAAAAACAGCATCAAGAAAATTCCCCAGTCGGGGATGAGAGCAACACATTAGTCTGGCTAGGATTTTCTCATATCCTGAGGTCTGTTTGAAGCTGGGCCAGTCAGGGGCCAGGACCTGCCTGGATTCAAACAGGGTCCTCATCTAACAGTGGTTATGACTGGTTAGGGATGTATGCAGACATTTTATTTGGATTTTGGCCTTTGGTGAATGGAGCCACAGCTGCTGATTGAGGGTGCACAGGACGCCCCTGGTCAAAGTTGAGGAACTACTTTTATTTTATTTCATTTTGTCATCATTGGTGGTTCCTGGCACCTTGGCACACGTGGCGTCAGAGAACAGCTCTGTGGAGTTCTTCTCTCCTTCCAGCTTCCTGTGGGTTCCGGGGATCGAGTCCCATCATCAGGCTTGCCAGCCAACCCACCCCCAGTTTTTTGACACAGGGTCTCATGTAGCCCAGACTGGCCCAGAAGTTGCCTTGTATCTGAAGGAAGTTCTGAATTCCTGGGTGCTGGGTTGGGCCTTGAGCACAGGCGCTACTAACTTTATAGCTCCAGAAGTTAGTAGCTCCTGTGGTACTGTGAAGTTTCTGTTTCCCTATGTAGCACTGCTGTAAACTCAGTAAATAGAGCCCCTGTCTACCTCTCTTATAGGTCGCCACTTTGAACAGATTTTTGTTTATCTCTAGGAATTACAAATTGTGCTTTTGGGGTTATGATCACCCCAGGACTTGTTCAGCAGGGCTCTATCTCCAGCACCACAAAGAAGAAACACTAAGCCTAATGGCACCCATGGTCCCTTTAATCTGTTTAGAATGCCTGTGCCTGGGGAGGTGACAGGGTTTGTTGTTGTTGTTGTTGTTTGTTTCTCTGGTTTTAAGACAAGGTCTCATTGTGTGGCTCTGGCTGTCCTGTAACTCATAGAGATCCACCAGCCTTTGCCTCCTGAGTGCTAGAGTAAAGGTATGGGTGAATTATGCTTGGCAGTAATTTGCTCTTCTGAAGAAAGATTTGTTGGGGCTAGAGAGAAGGCTCAGCAGATCTTAGGGGCTGGAGAGATGGCTCAGAGGTAAAGAGCACTGGCTGCTCTTCCAGAGGTCCTAAGTTCAATTCATAGCACCTCACAACCATCTATAGTGAGATCTGGTGCCCTCTTCTGGCCTGCAGGGATACATGCAGGCAGAACACTGTGTATCTAATCAATAAAATCTTAGAAAAAAAGGGAGGGTAAATCTTTGTTTGTTTGTATTTCAAGGCAGCGTTTCTTTCTGTATCCCTGGCTGTCCTGGAACTAGCTCTATACACCAGGCTGGCCTCAAACTCACAGAAATCTGCCTGCCTCTGCCTCCCAAGTGCTAGGATTAAAGGTGTGTGCCATCACTTAGCAAAAAAAAACGGAATCTTAAATAAGAAAGATTTCTTCCACCCCCACCCCGTGAGATGACTCAGCCAGTAAAGGCACTGACTGCATGCCTGGTGCCCTGAGTTCAGTCCCTAGGACCAACCTGGAAGGACCTCAGCCCATAACAGTCTCACTGACCAAAGTAAATAACTTACTAAAAACAAGACACTTAAAGAGGCTTATTAAGCTCACGGTTCTGTAAGTCTGTGCACAAGGATAAGAGGACTGAAGAGCTGCCCCTCACCTCAGCCATGGAGCTCACAGGCACAAGAGTCCAGCACCCACACACCCTGGAAGAAACAGTCCTGGGGGCCCCAAGCAGTACTGTACCAAGAGGTGCAGGCCCAATGACTCTGGCATTCTTTGGACAGAGGACAGCCGGGTGATGGGAAGAGGAAACCTGCAGTCCACCATGCTGGAAGGGCATGGCACAGCTCCACTCGACCTAGACCTTTCAGCCATCAATGGTAAGTGGTTTCTTTTAGCCCCTTAGTGGCTGAGCTTATAAGGATGGTCCCCAGGCTCAGAAAGCCCTTGTTGCCAATTTGACTCACTACTGTGAGAAGAGTCTGTGCCTTTCATGCACACCAGGCCTAGGATTGTGAGTCCCAGTGTGTTCTCAGATGGCAGTGTGGGTCAGTTCTCTCCTGCCTGGTGGGGTGGCAGCAGCAGGTGGAGGTCCCAGGTGGGGTGGCTGAAGCAGGCACAGGCCCCAGGCAGTGCTGTAATCATAAGCAGCGTGAGGGCCTGGGTGGTGGGGTTGGGGGTGACATCTTCCTCTTGTGACAGTCTGAGTCATGAGTCTAGAGACACCTGTTATGTTCTTGGCCATTTATGGTGGCACAAGCCTGAAGCCCTAGCTGGGGCAGGAGGATTGAGTCTTAGGCCAAACTGGACTACATCTCCATAAGCCAAGTGAAAGGCTTTTTTTAAATAAATGAAATGGTCTATCTTAGACAAAAGCATGTTCAGAGAGCCTCCCCAGCTAGACAGGACAGCGTCAGAGAAATCCGAGTCGACGTCCTTCACCACCCCTCAGAGAAAGAGAACCCTTCACAAGAAGAGACGGGTGAGCATGGGGGTAGCAGGCAGTGGGTGGGTCTGACTCCCAGCAGCCAAGGCTTCAGAGCAGAGGCAGCCAGTCCTCCAGGATTGAGGCCAGGGCTGTGGTGCCCATGGGTCTGTGCTCAAGACAGTGTGCCCATATACTGAGTGGGGTAACACCCATATAATTCCCAGGCAAGGTGAGACCTGGCTCCATCCCCAACCCCTCGGACACTAGTTCCGTTTGAACCTATAAAGTACACAGATTGGGGGTTCTGCCATGCCCGGAAGAGCCAGGTCAACATGGCTCACTGGGAACTGAACAGCTGGACCCCTGCAGGATCTGCAGCAGACCATGGACATGATGGAGTCACAGACACTGCTGCTGACCCTGCTGTCTGTGAAGGTGAGTTTTGTTGACCCTCATGAGCACCAGTGTGTCTTCTGTTGTATCCCGCACCCCAACTAAGTTGGTCTTGCACCCACAGATGGAAGAGAACCTGACTCTGCTGGAGGAGAAGGCTGAGAAGGATTTGGCAGCCATGTGCCGTGAGAAGGAGAGGCTACAGGGGCGGGTTCTGGAGCTGCGGCGCCAGCTGCTGCTCCGGCAGAAACACCAGGAGCTGGCTACTATCCTGGATGCCCAGGTTGGTCTGAGAAGGCTCCTGAAGCCAGGGGTGCATGAGGGAGCAAGGATCAGGGTGTCACCTCTTGCATTCTGCCCACTCTGCTCCTGATGTTAGCATAGACTGTGTATGGACACCTGTGTCTGCCACAAGATGTGCACAATCCTTGGCACCTGCCACCTGATGGCAGCAATGTCAGCTACCATCCCACCCTGGTGCCTAGCACAGCAACAGTGTCCTATCCAGGACAGGTTAGAGGGGATCCTGTTACCTGGACAAGATGGCTCAGCCAGCCTCCAACCTTGTGACTTTCCTGTGGCCAGGAAACCTGAGGCTGGAGACCTGCAGGGCTCAGCACATGCAAGGCCCATTCCTTCCTGCATGCAGATAGTTCCTTCCTGTGTGGGTGAGCCTAGTGTGTCTTACAGTGTCCCCTTTTGCCTGCAGATGGAGGTGCTGGGCCCTTTCCAGGCTGTATCAGAGAGCTTCAAGGAGCAATACAAGACACTGGCCACAGCCTTGGACACCACTCGACATGAGCTGCCCGTGCAGGCCATCTACATGCAGGGAAGTGGACAGGAGCTCCTAGGTAGGAACAGCCTGCTGTGTGGCATTACCACAGCAGGAAGGAGCCCCAAGGCTCACATGCACCATATTCTAGGTGCCTCCACCCTGCCAATAGGGTGGGGGTGTTGGGGAGGTCACCAATGAACCAGTGCTGTGTGTATTTGGGGGATTCTCTGGAGCAAATGTCCTCATGGGGATCTTTCAGCTGCATAGTGTTCGTTCAGCCTGGGCTACATAACAAGGAAAAAGGTACAGTGGCCTACACTTATTGTCTGACCCTTGGGAGGCTGTGAGTTCCAGGCCAGTCTGAGCAACAAAGTGGCACAATGTTGGCCTGGAACCTGTAGCCATCCTCCTACCAAACCGCCCACAGCTGACGTGTTGTACCCAGCACAAACCTGCACACTGACTGCGAGGTGAGGACAGAGCAGCAGTCTGTACGCACTGCAGACACTGCAGGGAACAGGTGCTTTAACCCTCTTGGCCCAGGCTTGGTTGCATGCAGTGCAGGCCTGTGCCTGGGACATTTGTGGCTGTCAGCACCACAACCTCTCACAGCTGCTGCAGATGCCAGAATCTCATGTGTTTGGATCTGGAGGCCAGGAAGTGCAGGTCCAGGCCACATCTGGCAGGTGCATCTTGCTTGTCAGCTCACAGTAGAAGGACACAGGGTTTCAGAAATTTTGAGGTCCAGCTTCTTAATTTCCTTCCCAGGGGGCCCAGGAGAGATGCTACCAACAGTGCGGGAATGAATCTAGATACACCAAGCTCTTTTGTCCATTTACTTTATTCCTCTATGACAAAGTTCTGTCTATACAGCTTCAGCTCCATCCTCACATTCAGCTCCTCTCTGTGCCCACTTTTCCTGTCCTCATAGTTTTAGTAAGCTTTAGTATGCTTTTGACCTCATCTTCGTCCTCTGTCCCTTCGTCCTCCATCTATCCTTCCTGGCTCTTTACTCCGGGCTCTCAGAAAGCTCTACAAGAGATCTGCTTTACCCTCTACAGAATCTGTCCTCTTCTCTTCTCTCTGGCCACGCGGTTCTGTCTACCCTCTCCAGAGAAACTGTCTTGTTCTTGTTCTTCTCACCACGCCACTCTATGACACCAGGAAATCTGCCTCACTCTTTACTCCACCTGGATATCAAAAACCTCCTCCGTTCTCAGTCAGTTGCTCTGGAAAGCCACTAGTCCTGAAGGCAAGGGATGGTCTGAGCTTCATCTGCACAAGAAGCAAAGCTGCATCTCGGAGCCAGGTTGCCCCCGAAAGGACAGGACTTTTACCTCAGTTCAGGGGCTTCAGGTGCCTAGCAGGTGGTCTGATAGCTATTCTGTTCCTCACTTGTCCTTCAGTGTTTTGTTTGGAGCTGGCCCTATCTTTGAATGTAGCTAAAAGGGGGTATTTGCAAAGGCAGATACCCAATTCAAATGCTGCAACGGGAGAAGAGAACTCAGAGGCAGCAGGCCCTGCCTGCGGGATTATCCCAGTACTGGCCCAAGCAGGCTGCTCACACATACACATTCTATGGGAATTAGGAGGACAAGAAATTCATAACGAGGAGCAGCTGAGTACTAAAGCTGAGTAACACCAAATATTCCGTGATAAATGGCTTCCCACTAGAAAGTGCCTTGAAATTTCTAGGTGTAGCTTTAACACACAGCGGAATCTCTAGACTGTGTTCTTGCGGCCGCAAGAAGAGGGTGAGAGCAGAGCAGCAGCTAGCACTGCTGCACCTGAAGCCTCAGCTCCCTCGGTCCACAGGAAGCCCTGCTGGGCAGCTGTCATGCAGGCACCGCTTGTACGCTCAGCACTGACCCCCTTATCAGTGTGCCCTTGGCACCCACACTCGCCAGGGACGGGTGAGATCTGCTGGGATCCCTCCCTTTGCTCCCATTCCCTGAGTATAAGAGAAGAGCCAACTAACTCCACACAGCAAAACAGCTATTGCTTTGGGCGCCAGAGTCCTGCTAACAGCCCGTGTCTCCACAGATGATCTGCAGCCAGCCCTGAGGACCACCCTGCAGCTCCTGGGCGAGCTGGGCATCTGCTCCCGGGACTCCACTGCACAGGTGCCGGAGGATGCCAGTGCACAAGTGCTGTGCCTGCTGGAGGAGCTCAGGGACTTGACCGCCAAGAAGGACCTGGAGCTCCACAGGTGTGGAGTGCACCTCCCTCTCCCCTCCTCTCTCCACCCTTCCTTCCTTTTCAGTTGGGGTGCTGGGGATGGAACCCCACCCAGCTGGTATCTCAGGTGAAGGCTGGTTCTATCTGGAAAGCCAGCTTTTGGGGCCTCTGCTGTGAGTGCCTCACAGCTGCCACATTGCCAAAGTGGCCAGGCTGTGTCACTGCTGCCCTAGTGACTGGCAGTCACTGGTCAGCTTCTGGCCTGCTTCTGAGTTCTGAGATATTGGGGCCTTGGGTGCAATGGAGCCATAGATTCATACCGTGCCAGAGTCCAGCAGAGTAGGATTGGGGACAGTAGAGACCTGAGACCAGCACGGGCGGGGAAAGCATTCCACACTCACTGTCATGCCCTGGACTGCAGCACTGGGTCACCAGGGGACAGAGGGAACCTTTCCTGGACCCGACAGTTTGCTCAACACATATTATACATCTTCCAGATACAGTCTCAGTAGGATGTTTGGGGGTTTCTTTTTGGTTGGTTGGTTGGATTTTGGTTTAGTTTTGTTTCTAGGCAGGTTTTCGCTGTGTAACAGCCCTGTCTGTCCTGTAGACCAGGCTGGCCTTGAACTCAAAGATTTGCCTGCCTCTGTCTCTCAACTGCTGGGATTAAAGGCATGTGCATCACCAGCGTCTGGCCAGTTTTGGGGTTTCTTGAGTTACATTGTTGTTCTGTGTGTTTTTCTGAGACTAGGTCTCACTATATAACCCAGTGTGGCATTGAACTTACAGGAATCCTCCTGCCTCAGCTCGCAGAGTTCTAGAATGGCATGTACCACCACACACACCCAGCTCTTATGTTTTGGGGTTTTTTTTGTTTTGTTTTGTTTTGTTTTGTTTTGTTTTTTGAGACAGGGTTTCTCTGTGTAGTTTTGGTGCCTGTCCTGGATATTGCTCTGTAGACCAGGCTGGCCTCAAACTCACAGAGATCCACCTGGCTCTGTCTCTTGAGTGCTGGGATTACAGACATGCGCCACCACCGCCCAGCATGTTTTGGATTTTTTTTAAGTATATATTTTTATGTGTTTGGGCACATGCATGCAAAGGCATGAGTGTGGAGATCAGAAGACAGCTTTGGGAATCTGTTCTCTCTTTCCATTGTGTGGGTCCCAGGGATCAAACTGAGGTCATCAGGCAGACGTGGCAGCAAGCACCTTCACCCACTAAGCCATTTTGGCCACCCCCAAAAAAATCTTGCTCCATCTGCTCTCACAGTGCTAAATGCATTCAAGGAGATGCCCAAAGGACTTTGCAGGGACTCTGAAGCACACCACACCCAGAACTGTCCCACAGGGTAGGTGAGCCACCACTCACATGGAGCAGAGGATGAGGATGTCTCTGGTGCTTGTGACCACTATCTGGCCAGCAGTTTCCCTGTCAGTATTGTAAGCAGTACAGATGCACCCAGTATCCACACTTCGGCCCATGCCTTCCATTACCTAGGGGCTGTTAAAGTCTGAAGACACCTAGCCTTGCATAAAGGGACAGACAGGGTATGGCCGTGTGGTAATGGGCTGAGTCTCACATCTGGCCTGGCTCCAGCAGGGTCTCCTCCCATAAAATTTGTCCACTGTTCAGAGGGGGTGGGGGGGGCACTGAGGTCCCAGATAAATAGGAGTCTGAGGCAGGAGGATGAAGGCATGCATTCAAGACTGGCTAATGCCAGCATTAGAGTGAGACCCTGTCTACAAACCTGGGAGCGCAGGTCTGTCAGTCTCAGCTACTTGGGGGCTGAGGCAGGAGGGTCATCAGTTCAGGGTCAGCCTAGGGAACTTGGGTACTGTCTCAAGAAACAATAAAAGGGACATCATGGAATGGAGGGAACTCGGTCACAGTTCTTGCTCAGTATGCACAAGGCCCTGGTTCTGTCTCCAGCAACATGGATACATACACAGGCACACATACGCACATGTGCACGCACGTTTGCCCCCAAGTTTGCAGCCATTGCAAGCGTTCTGCCCTGCCTTACAACTCTTGTCACTTTCAAAGTCACCATTAGAGTCCTGAGATCACTCCTCAAGTAAAGCCTGGTAACCTGAGTTCAGTCCCCAGGACCTGGGAGAGACCTGATCCCTGTAAATTGTCCTTTGACCCCCACAGGTGAGCTGCACACAACAAAATAAATGTCTTTTAAAAAGTTTGTTTTTCTAAGATCTCCATTAGAGTTATGGCCACAAACAAAGTTGTCCCTTCTCTTTTCTCTTTCCACAGGATCATCTGCCAGGTGCTGGAACTTTCCTCCCAGGCCAGTAAAGAAGCAGCATTGATAAACCAGGAAGTCTGGGAAGAGGCCCAGGGCACCTCCACCTGCAGCCAGTGGTACTTCAATCCAGATGCCCTCAGGGACCACAGTCCCTGCCCTGGACAGGACTAATCACAGTGCAGGCCTGACCCTTGAATGGCTCCAGGCAGCCTGTCCTGCCACTTTGTGAGCGTTTCCCCAGCTGCCTGTTCAGCCGCTCATACTCCCTCCTCGGCTTTTCCTCATATACCAAAGGAAGTTCTGGTGATGCAGTTTTTGAAAACAATTTGCACTTTCATTTTCTACACTTTCCATTTGGGACATCACCAGCACTTCTGGGTTTTGTTTTGGGATTTTGAGACAGGGTCTCTCTGCAGAGCCCTAGTTGTCCTGGAACTGAGTGACTACCAGGTCCCCAGCCCCTGTTCTTGCTATTTAATCCCAGCACTCAGAGTCCAGGGCCAGCCTGATCTACAGAGTGAGTTCCAGGTCAGCCAGAGCTACACGGAGAAACCCTGCCTGGAGAAAAATAAATTCTGATGGATGTGTGTTCACATATTTGTCCCTCTGCACTGGTCCTCTAGAGAACCCCATCTGTGGCATCCTCCTAGGCTGCCTGGCCACTGGGCTCCAGGGTCCTCCTGTCTCCAACTTTGAAGTGCTGGAAACATGAGCACGGACCACTCTGCAGGAATCTTCACTTGGGATCAGGGGACTGAACCCTGACCCTCACCCTTACATGGTGGCATTATAGACTGGGGCTGACTCTGCCTCAGGATTCCAGAGGTTTCCGTCCAAGGTCATGGATGGCCCAGCACCTACCTAACTACCGAGACTGAGCATCATGGGGGAGCCACCAAGAAAAAGATAAGGGGTGTGGTCCAACAACAACCTTCTAATATACATGCCAATGGCCCAACTGCCTTCTTCCAATGGGCAAGCTTTAATTTGGACATTTCAGTTTTGTATCTTGACCCCTCCTTGCTCTTACATTGGGGCATAGAAAGATGATGGAGGTGCCTGCCGCCAAGCCTGGTGGCCTGAGTTTGATCTAGGACACATGGGAAAGACCCAACTCCACATTGACCTCTGACCTCTACACACAATAAACAGAAAAAAAAGTTGAGACAGGGTTTCTCTATGTGGCTGTTCTGGAACTCACTCTGTAGACCAGGCTGGCTTGGAACTCACAGAGATCCACCTGCCTCTCCCTCCTGAGACCTGGAATTAAAGGTGTGTGCCACCACTGCCTGGCCTATAAATGGAAAATTTTAAATCAGACTTAGCCAGCAGTTGTGGCGCACGCCTTCGATCCTAGTAGTCAGGTGACAGAGGCAGGTAGATCATTGAGTTCTGTCAACTCAGTCTACAAAGTGAGTTCCAGTCTAGCCAGGGCTACTCAGGAAGACCCTTGTTTCATTTATTTGTTTTGGGGGTCTTTTGTTTTCTTCCAAGACAGGGTTTCTCTCTCTACCCCTGGCTGTCCTGGAACTCACCTTGTAGACCAGGCTGGCCTTGAACTCAGAGATCTGCCTGCACCGCCACCCAGCAAGACCTTGTCTTTAAAAAGGAGTTCAGGGTCCTGGTAAGCTTGAGGCTAGTCTGGGCTACATAAGACTGTCTTGAAAAGTATAAAATGGGATAGGCATGTAGCTCGTTTGCTGCTATGCTTGCCTGTACTGCACAGACGCTTGAGTTCCGTCACCAGATAAGAGTGGTCTGCGGGCTGGAGAGATGGCTCAGCGGTTAAGTGCACTGACTGCTCTTCCAGAGGTCCTGAGTTCAATACCCAGCAACCACATGGTGGCTCACAACTGTCTGTATTGAGATCTGGCGCCCTCTTCTGGCCTGCAGGCAGAACACTATATACACAATAAATTAAAAAAAAAAAAAAAAAAGCGGTTTGCACCTGTCATCCCAGCACATGGAGGTGGAGACAGCTTGACTACTGAGGTGATAGTGTCAGCTCTGAGGAGGCTCAGGCTGGAGGATCCTGAGGCCAGGAGTCTGAGACCAACATGGACAGCATCGTGAGCCCGTTTCATGCAGGACTTGATGGTGGGGAACAGAAAGGGGAAGGGACCTTTCATTGCAGCATGGAGTGGGAGTGAGTGTTAACGACTTTGGTGTTTCCCCACTTTTGACTGATTTAAGATGAATTGTGGGTTCCTGCTACAAAGGACCCTGTGGAGCCTGTGAGCATCAAAGCTACTGTAGCCAGTGACCACCAGCTCTCCTCCCTGCAACTGCTCTCCCTGTGGCCTCAGCCAAAACAGTCTAACAGCCTCCAGACTTTCCAAAAGGCAGGTGTTTGCTGGGTCGTGTCCATCAGGTCCCCTAGAGGATTGCTTGCTGGGTGCCTCACTGAAGCCAAGATAGTGACGATCCCAAGTTCCCACCTTTATTATCTTAGCAGAATCACTCTTAAGATGTATAGCTCAACTGAAAACCACAGCAATATGTTCCTGTGACCTCAAGTTCTCTGGGGAGCCTTGCCTCAGGTTGGCAGGACAGCTGTGTGTACAGTTCTGAAGTATTCATTCCACAGTGAGGGGCACAAAGGTCACAGGGACACAAACCACAGGTAATCACCATTGTCCCCACATGTGGCATAAGGAGTGGATGTGGAGAGGCCAGGAGAATTTGGGTGGTCACTGAGCATCCTTCAGATTCCCACACACAGTAAGGTTGACAGGGAGGTTCTGAACACAGTTGTGCAGGGTCAGCAAGCCTGCTCTTCGGGTAAAGCTCATTGCTGCCATACCTGATGACCTGAGTTTCATCCCTGGAACCCACATGCACATGGTGGAAGGAAAGAACTGACTCCTGCAAGTTGTCCTCAGATCTTCACACCCAGGCTGTCACACACACACACACACTGAATAAACGTGCATACATAAAGTAAAGGAATGGAGGCGTGGCTCGGGTAGAGGCTGTGCCTAGAATCCCCCAGGAGGGGCTGGGGGCGTGGCTCAAGGGTGGAGCCCCGCCTAGAATCCCCCAGTGAGGGGCTGGGGGCGTGGTCAGGGTGGAGCCCCGCCTAGAATCCCCAGTGAGGGTCTGGGGGCGTGGTCAGGGGTGGAGCCCTGCCTAGAATCCCCCAGGAGGGGCTGGGGGCGTGGCTCAGGGTAGAGCCCCGCCTAGAATCCCCAGTGAGGGTCTGGGGGCGTGGTCAGGGTGGAGCCCTGCCTAGGATCCCCCAGTGAGGGGCTGGGGGCGTGGCTCAGGGGTGGAGCCCTGCCTAGAATCCCCAGTGAGGGGCTGGGGGCGTGGTCAGGGGTGGAGCCCCGCCTAGAATCCCCCAGTGAGGGGCTGGGGGCGTGGCTCAGGGGTGGAGCCCTGCCTAGAATCCCCAGTGAGGGGCTGGGGGCGTGGTCAGGGTGGAGCCCCTGCCTAGAATCCCCAGTGAGGGGCTGGAGGCGTGGTTTAAGGGTAGGCTTGTCTAGTATGCACAGGGTCTTTTGTTTAATCCCAAGGAATGAGGGCTGGAAAGATGGCTCAAAGGTTAAGAGCACTAGCTGCCCTTCCAGAGGACCTGAGTTCAATTCCCAGCAACCACATGGTGATTTACCTCACAGCCATCTATACTGAGATCTGGTGTATACAATAAATCTTTAAAATAAATGACAGTGGGGCAGTGGTGGCACACGCCTTTAATCCCAGCACTCAAGAGGCAGAGGCAGGCGGATCTCTGTGAGTTCGAGGCCAGCCTGGACTACAGAGTGAGTTCCAGGACAGGCTCCAAAGCTACACAGAGAAACCCTGTCTCAAAAAACCAAAAAAAAAAAAAAAAAAAAAAAAAAAAAAGGCAATCCCAAGGACTGAAAAAAAAAAAATTGTATTTGAATCAAACATGCAGTCTGTCTTGTTATAATCCAAAAAAGTACAGCATACTGGGCCAGGTATGATGGTGCACACCTTCAATCCCAGAGAGAGGCAGAGGGTGGGTTTTAGAAGAGAGGTGCCTGTGAAGGTCGTCAGTCAATGCAGTTGATCAAGCTGTTCCCACAGGGCAGTTTGCTCCCTCTGGGCCTGGCCTCTCCAGTTTAGGCCACACAGCCTATGCACAGAGTGGGGCTTGATGTTCCATCCCCAGAGTGCAGCTGAAGGATGGCAGTTGTTGGAGGCCTGTCCTAGAGATAGCATCCAGACTCTAGACATTGTGGTCAGCTGCTGCCCCTGGCACAGTGGGGCTAGGTGTGGTGCACATTCTTGTAAATCTCATTTGAAGGCTGAGACAGGAGGACATTCAAGTCCATCCTGGGCTACATGGTAAAAACTCAAAAAAAAAAAAAAAAGGCTGGAGAGATGGCTCCATGGTTAAGAGGGCTTGCTGCAGCCAGGCAGTGGTGGCACATGCTAGAGAAGCAGAGGCAAGTGGATCTCTGTGAGTTCGAGGCCAGCCTGGTCTACAGAGCGAGATCCAGGACAGGCATCAAAACTACGCAGAGAAACCCTGTCTCAAAAAACAAAAAATAAATAAATAAATAGATAAATAAATAAATAAATATAAATTAAATAAATAAGTAAATAAATAAAGGCTTGCTGCTCTAGCAGAGGACTGGAGTTTGGTTCCCAGCACCCACATCAAATGGTGAACAACCATCTGCTTCCAGATTCCTGCCTTGACTTCCTCTGATGATGGACTGTGACCCTTTCCTCCTTGGGTGTTGCTTTTGGTCATTGTGCTTATCACAGCAATAGTAACTAAACTGGGACAGTCCCCAGGTGAGGACCAATGACCAGCATCACCAGAAATACAAAGTGGCCCTGGAGTATGCACCAGGAAAGGCCCTCTGATCTCCAACAAGGACTCTTCCAACTGGTGCCAGCAGGCTGGGGGCTCCTGGTGTGAATGAAGAGAAAGAAGTGCTTCGCATTGGACATAGCAGACCCCAGTAGTGCGTGTGCGTGTGAGTGTGTGTGTGTCCAGCGCTCTGTCCTGGACTTGCATACCAACGGCAGGCTCTCTACTTACCTGGCTCCGCACTCTCCACCCGGTCAGCTGTCACCCTTGGTTCCCTAGACCTCACTTTCATGTCATGAGTGCACAGTCCTTCTAGCCCAGGTCTGTGCTCAGGGTCCATGTGCAGGTAGGTGGCACACAGGTACCTGAGTTTGTAGAAACCACTGTTGCTGCCCAACCTCCCACAACCAGGGCACATCCCTTCTGACTCCAGAAAAGGTTTGTGAGATCAGAGACGGGGGTTAAAGCAGGGAACAGTCAAGGTCCAAAGACACAGCAGTCAGGACTCAAGGCTGGGAGGTGCAGGGTGGGAGGGGCTATGGAAAGGGAAGGCTGGTGTTGGGCCTGAGTGGGATTGGGGGAGTTCATGGGGCAGTTTGGGGTGGGCTTCCTGGTGTTGCAGTGTTGCCCAGTTTGGGGCAGATCTGTGCCAGTCTCCTTTCCTACCATCTTCAAGTTTCAGCCTGTGGTAGGGACCCTGTGGGCCTGAGAGTTCCTTAAGGCACACATTCAAAACTTCCAAACGCCTGAGAGGGTCTGACTCTAAACTTCGGGGTGATCACAATCTGAAGATTTGAAAGCTGGCAC